AGCTATTTCACCTTTAATAAATAATTTGGTGTGACATCACAATGTATTCTCCATGCTACGCGTAATTTGTATTTTCTCTTTAAAAAAAATAATGAATTGTTTGTTATTGTAAATCAACATCAAATTCTTTAAATTTACATTTCTGAGCTTAGGCGTAACTGAAAATAAGTATAATAAATTGTTTATATTTAAAATTATCATGATACAGTAAGCGAATTCTACCAGTTATTACAACGATAAAGAACGTCGCAGTCTCTCATACTTGTATTTCATACAGCTTCCATATTTTCAAAGATTTTTAAGCTTTAGCATTTATACAAATAAAAAAAAGTTTTTTTTTTAATTAATACTCTGGAACATATCAATTTTATCATATTTACAAATTAACGTTTTGCTACGTAATAACAATAATCCCTTATATACCAGTAAGTAGACAATTTTAATTATTTTCTAAAAATTTTAAACTTCACATTAATGAAAACAGGTTCTTAAATTTCTAAATCACATTATATTCTCTGTAGGCAGGCATACTAGAATTTTACACATAAATAAATAAAAAATTTAATTTCTCGCAATGAAAAGAAAATATTATAAGAAAATAAATACTACAAATTAGGAACACTAAGCAATGCTTCACATACACACACACATGCAGTGTCTCACAAAAGTGATGGGACACTTGTGCTTTACAAAAGGAAACTGTAGTAAAATAAATTAAAAAAACATGTAAAAATTTTTTGTGGGTATGTTTCATACTTAAATTTAGTAACAATTACTACATAACATACATTTTCTCAAAATATTAAAATATCAATTTAATAAAAATACAATTGTTTAGAACGGAGCAAAAAATGGCTCACATAAGTGATGGGACACTTACTTTTCCATCAAATATTTATCAAAAATTTTACTTTATAAAAGGATTTAATATTTTGTTGGATTTCCTTTTACTTTTAAAACATGATTTAATCTTCTTGGGATGGATTCGACTAATTTTTTTGCGATTTCTGGAGTGATTTTACCCCATTCTTCTTGAAGCACCGATTTTAATTAATTGTCTTTCCTGTATTTTCTCCACACCAAGATTTTACCGTCAGAATCAAATATATTAAATTTACTTTCATCAGCAAATATAACTTCATTCCAGTAATCAGAATTCTTATTTATGTTGGATTTTGCGAAAGCCAGTCTGAGGTTTCTATTCTTTTCACTCACGAAGAATTTTTTCCTGGCTGCTCTACCGTGATATCCAGCAAATCTAATTACTCTTCCAATAGTCTCAGGATTAACAATTACTCCATATAATGCTTGTAAATCAGCAGCAACTTTGGGAGCACTCATTCTTGGATTTTTTTTAATATTTCGAACGATAATTCGCTTTATTCCATTGGATAGCTTTGATGGTCGGCCAGGTCTTCTTTATCCTGAATCATATGATTCTTTTTATACCGTTTAATGATATTGAACACTGTTGAATGACTGAAGTTAACTGTTTCAGTAGTTTCTCTAATAGATTTTCCACGTTCAATATGCAACTTAATAACTAATTTTCGAATTTCAGGCAAAGTTTCTTTTCGTTTAGCATTCATGGCTGCACAGAGATAAAAAACACAAAAATTCCAAAACAAACTGGAGAGAAATACTGCAGACGATTGCGATAAATTATTGCCAATTGCTTTGAGTAAAAATAAAAACCCCAAAAAATATTTTTATTGCTTACTTCAGACGATTTTTGTTGCATAGTACGTAGTAGTATCTAATGGTGTCCCATCACTTTATGTGAGCCATTTTTTGCTCCGTTCTAAACAATTGTATTTTTATTAAGTTAATATTTTGAGAAAATGTATGTGATGTAATAATTGTTACTAAATTTAAGTATGAAACACACCCACAAAAAATTTTACATGTTTTTTTAATTTATTTTATTACAGCTTCCTTTTGTAAAGCACAAGTGTCCCATCACTTTTGTGAGACACTGTATTATCAAAGAACTCGTATTATCAAGTGCGATTAGGATTGCAAACACTATGTATTATAATAATGAGGTAAAAGTTACTTATAGGGTCAAATTTTACAGTTCTGCTACTGTTGAGTAGATCGTCGGGCTATCGATATATATCGTAAGTCGGAAAGCATTATAAACATATCAAAACCAAAACATTAAAATACAATTTAAATGAAAAATGATGTCTTAAATATAATTCACAATTAAAACAACAATACAAATTTAAAATACACAAACGATATGTTAAACATTGCGTATAAAATACGTTACATTACAGCTCGTCATCACACATATTATCTCGTTTTCCCTTTGTAACAACGATCCGTATTCGCCCCGAAAATACATAAAAAATTGCACAAACTCGGTGTTCCATGTACACATCCATCTATTTTCCACCTTAAAAATGTCAGAGAATTGCACAAACCTCGGCATTGCGCACCTACATTGGGCTCTGCCCAATGTACACATCGATCTATTTTCACTTAAGAAAACATCCGAGAATAACAGCACAAACTAGGCGGCATCGCGCACAAACCTCGGCATTGCGCACTACATTGGCTTTGCCCATGTACACATCGATCTATTTTCACTTAAAAAAACATCCGATAGAATTGCACAAACTAGGCACCGTGCACAACCTCGGCATTAGCGCACTACATTTGGCTTTGCCCATGTACACATCGATCTATTTTCACTTAAAAAAACATTCCTAGAATTGCACAAACTAGGACACCGCGCACACACCTCGGCATTGCGGCACTACATTGGCTCTGCCCATGTACTACATCGATCTATTTTCACTTAAAAAAACATCCGAGAACTGCCCAAACTAGCATTGCGCACTACATTGGCTTGCCCATGTACACATCGCTAATTCCATCCTTGCGAATTGCCACGTGGTACACATACGTTTTGGAATAAAAAAAATAAACAAAGTATAGGAAACAAATTTTATTATATACAGATGAAAGCCACACTCAAATACTACTTTTCTACATAGTCACCATACAAATTAAGGCATTTATCGTAGCGATGTACGAGCTTGGAAATTCCTTCGTCGAAAAATTCGGCCGCCTGCGCCTTCAACCACTTCGTTACTTCTTGCCTTCCATCTTGCACAAAACTTGTGGTAACCAAGCTTTTCGCTGATGATTTCGTGCAACAAACTTCGCGAAATTTGTGGAAAACTCAAAGAAAGTTCCGTTATTGTGAAATTTCGATTTTCACGGACTTTAGCATCGACTTTTTCGAGAAGTTCGGCGGTCACTATGCTGGGTCTCCCACTTCGATCTTCGTCGTGAACATTGGTTCGGCCATTTTGAAATCTTATGACCCACTGACGCACTCCACCTTCAGTGATAATGTTGTCCCCATACACTTCACGAAGCTGCCGATAGATTTCTATCGGTTTACAGTTTTTTTGCAGTCAGAAACCTTATTACTGAGCGCACCTCGCAGCTCGCGGGATTTTCAATTAACGCAGACATTTCAAACCGTCACAGTATCTGAACGGAGCACAGCACGAACCTCTCACTAGCACGGCTAGATGCAGACTGAGCTGCGCAACGCTCTGACCCCAAGATGGCCGCGCTAGCCCCGCCCCTAGCGGACACAGACGGAAACGTAATCTACTTCCTGGATGGCCCTCGTATCTCTTTTTACTAAAATGATAAAGGCAATATAAAATCTTTTTATAAAAAAGAATTGCGAAATTGGAAGCAATCCTTGATTCGTGTTGGAAAAAAAAATTTAGAAATTGAGCTTTTACAGGCGAATCAAGCCTAGCCTAATTGATTTCTCACCGTACATTCTTGCAAATACTACCATTCGATGACTTTTTCTGACTAACTAATCAGCATGGTATCTTACATTTTTCACAGAAAACGTTATCCTTCAATAATCGACAATCCATCAAAAATCCTCTAAAAAGTTCATACTCTATTGTTAATTCATACATAAAATATCTGTTCCCAAAATTTTACGCTTGTTTGAAAACTCCCACCTTAAATTTTCCTTTATAATCTCCTGATATTTAATTACAACATCACTAACAGCAGTTTTAGAGCAAGCAATAACTAAACGCAAAAATATCACCTCAAGTAGCCAAAAATACATATACAAAATAGTATTCACGGTATCTGAGCGTTAAACAATCGCCAATAACAGTGTTACGAATTGTGTATTTAGATATTAATTTTAGTAGAATTCTAATTTAAAATGTTGTATTTCCTCGTGCAACGCAGCGTGAGACAAATTTTAAGAGAAATCTATACCGGAAAAGTAAGAATACAGGGCACGTGCATTAAACTTTGAGTAAACGGATGTGTCGGTAATTTGTATTGAAATTGAATAAATGTAACTGACTACTAAATTAGCTGTAACCGTAATTCCATCCTCTTGTTTACATTGCATTTGGCGAATAGTATGGGTTACCAGATCATATCATTTATCGCCGCTCTTGGTGATTTTTTTTTTTGTTTAAATTTCCAGGTGGGCTATACTAAAGCTGTGCCTGTAAATGTTTTGTATTTGTTGCGATGCATGTTGAAAGTTACATTTTTATTTGTTATAAAGTCTGTTAAAAATTATTTTCAATTTCTAAATGCTTGCTTTTTTTCTTGTGTCTCACCGTATGCTTAGGATTTATTATCTTATGATTATCATTTTGTTTACTTTTTTTGCCAACTCAAACTTGTAGTGACGCTTTACTTTAAAAATTTGGCGACAAACGTAAACGCATCATTTTGGTGTTGGCGACAATTTTAAAAATCGCGCCAAGGCCGCACCGTATACTAGGATTTTACCCTAACTATAACGGCAATACAGGTGTTAAGAGAATTTATATTACGAAAAAAAAAAAAAAAAAAAAAAAAAAAAAAAAGAATTTAAAAACGCTAACTTTAATCATTTATCAGAACAACAGACAAAATTTTACTTCTTATTTAAATGAGACAGATTAAACTGCAAGTCTTGTAAAAGCAGAGCACATACATACCGGCCTCATGCCAAGATGATAGGTGTTAGATAACATGAGATTGCAATTTAATTCTTCGAGTTGTTCTGGAAGCAAACCTTTTAATGTCCCTTGAGTACCAACAGGCATAAAAACTGGAGTATTTACAACAGCATGAGGAAGGGTTAGGACAGATGTCCGCGCTTTTGTAGTTGAACATGTTTTCAATATTTTGAAAGTTAGCGCAAATTCAGTACTGGAAGCCGCCATGACACTGATAAGTAAACAAAGTTTCGGAATGTGTTGAGATGTTGTGCGAATGATAAAAATCACTAACTTTATGCAGAGGCTTCAAACATTCACTTGTAATTTAATTTCCAAATCCTTCATATGTACTCTAAATTTATAAATTGGCTTCAGATATCTAGATGTTGTTATCTTAAATATATTCCAATGACGAGCCTAAATATGAGAGCAAATATGAATTAGTGTTATTAAACTCACCTTTTAACGCAACATGATGATAACGATTACAAAAAATAAAGACTAACATATTTCCAACCTCTAACTGCTGAGCAGCACTGGAACTAAGGTATTTGTCGTCCGGTGCAATGCAAAGGTGACTGGCGCTGCGATCACGAAAGCTGGAGGCAGTGTCTAAACATAGCTCCGAAATTTTTAAATAAGTGTTTCAGTAAATGTTTTCAACTCTCTAAAAAAGTTTACCTTTCCTATGCAATGTCTCATCAAATTGAAAAAGGAAACTTCGCTTCTTCCAAACTTCAAATATCTTGTTCGCTGTTCTCTATCAACACGAGAAATCCAAAAGAAACCCTGACACGGAATATTCAGATAAGTAACATTCTGTTTCTCTAATACAAAATCTTATTGTCTATCACTAAAAGTGTCATTAAATTTCTTTATTTATTATTTTCATAAGATTCTACAATTAGTACAATAGTTAGTAATAGTAGCAAGTCATGTGGTTCTTTTTTCTTTCGTAACTATTCCGTAGAGATGCCACATTCCTTATCAGTAGTCCGTTCTTATCAGCAAGTCACACCCTTAGGAAGCCCCCCTTTTTCGTGCTTAAGGAATTTCTTGAGAGAGGAAAAATGGGGATCTCTTGACCATCGATGAGTATAGATTGTGATTTTTGTAACTAAGATCCCCGACTTTTTTTTTCAGGTCTCAAACTTAGAATTATGACCAAATATAAATACAGTGTGACGGAATTTGTTAAACTTGTACTATAAGTATAATAAATTACAACGGTTTAAATTAATAAATTAATTTTATATTTAACTAATATTTAAGAAAAATAAAACTGTATAAATTTTTTTGCTGAAATGCTCTCACACTGTGTATGAATTTATGATTTTGTCAATTACTGTTTTTCTGAAATATACATGAATTTTTTGGGAACGGTAATAGTTAATGTAACTTTAGTCAAAATATTATGTACATCTCTGTGATGATATATGTCTTTTCTAGTTAGGTCTCAAGATAAGGGCGAACACATTACCATGTAGGAATTCATTTTTTTTTAAAACTTAGCTAAGTTTGCTTCTTACAGACACTAATTTTTGCAAATGAACTCCTTTTAACTACACTCATGGACACAATCGTATTTTAGGATATTTTCTACTTCTTTTCCTTTTCTTTCTATAGGCCCTTTCCCCCTCTATTATTTTTGGGCCATTTATTTTAAATTTTATTTTGTCCCATCTTTTCTTTCTGGCTTTTTGAACTCGTACAAAATGTACGAAGTTCCTTTTTACTCTCCTCAAATACGAAATTGTACCTCTTTCTATATACCTTTCCTTCGCACCTATGCTTGATTTTTCGCCCATCGGTGCAGAAAGACTTAGCGGGTGCAAAACAAGACATCTGTCTACTTTGTCTGTCTGTCCGGTGCAAACTCCGCAAATCTAAAATTCTGCCTTCTGGTTCCTTTCTAAGTTTTAAAAATTTTGCCGCCGCTGAATTTTGCCGCGCGGTGCGGTCTGCTGCACATATTCTGGCGTCGGCCCTGCTTCTGAGATAAAATAACATACCAAATAACGATTGTTAGAGTTTTAACGATGTTAGGCCAGTTTTCTGCTAATTTGATTAAGACTGTGCAACATATGAGATCAAAGAGGAATTAATAGCTGAAGGGTTTAATGTTCTAAAAATGTGTCCCATGACTAAGTTACGTATGCGTATTCCAGGTATTCGAAGGGTACTCGTACTTTTCCAGGTACTCGAAAGTTCCAGTTAGAGAGCATGGGACAGAGAAAATTTATGAAATCTTTGAATTGCTAAGCTTTAATTTTTTTGGTGGATAAACGCAAAGGTGATGTGATTCAATGTCACAACTATTATTATGTCACAACTATTAACAGTTATTTAACTGATAAATATGATTTCTGAAATTTAAAAGTCCAAGGGTAATTACGGATACCAAGTAACAGAAATGAAATCCTCGCTTCATTAATTTTGAAAATGAATTAGATAATTAATCTGAAAGTGAATTCATGGATGTTAAGTCAAATATTGAATCCCAGGGAAAGAAATCAAAAGCATATACTGTGGAATTATAAGAAAAAAAGGGGTAATAGCACGTGAAAACAGAAAACAAAATGTAGCTTGCAATGGATCCAATATAAATTTAGACAGGTACAAAATTTGCAGCATTTTTATTATTGAGAGAAAAGTTCCAAAAGGTGGCAAAAAAATTTATCTTAAAAAGACTTTTCAAGGTAAATGATTTGTATATCTATTACGCATGGGAAAAAGCATGAAAATTTTCTCTCAGGGAATCTATTCACCGCGATTTTGCTCACTTCAAACTACCTAGGTTTAGTGGTTTTACTGTTGGGCTGTAGGTAGTTTTGCAGATAATTTATAATAATAATTTATAATTTGGCTGATTTCGCTAGTTGCAAATAGTGTAAGATCCTCATTTACTGCATTTTGATGATCATTTACTGCACCCAAACTGGACTATATATTCAATCCGCAAACAGCATATTTATAATCATTTAAAATATGTATACTTATCATACTAAATAATTGTAGTATTGACATCTTTCCACATCGAAATGATTCCCAGAATTTCTCGAATTCTGACTTAATTTTTAAAGATTAAATTTTCATCAGCTCTGTATAACATTCCATTTTAAATTAGCGTCTGCTAAAAGCCAAATATATATTTTCGCTTATTTTTTCTTCTACTCGATCAGCACGGTGACTTTCCAAATTCTCGAAACTAAATTTTAGATATTGCCAAATAGCACTGTATCGCTAAATCTCATTATATTTTACAATATTTTAACTCTTCATCTATAGAATATTAGTAGCTAAATCTTTTGCTATTATGTATTTCTTGGCGAATAGATTCATATAGATACATATAATTTTCAGAAAAATTGGGAGATGAAGATTCGAAGAATTCCCTTGTGAATAAAAAGCCATAATATTGCTTTAAAATGCTGAAAAAGGTCTTTGTAAAAGGAAAATTGATTCAATTGAAAATATCACCGATTTGCTACTGAAAAACATTCTTTAGGAGGGAATCAGTATCACAGTTATGGCCTTGGAAAAGTACAACATCCGGTGATAACCATTGAGCTGACTATCATGTTTACCATAACGAGGCATACAATCCAGCCTTGTCGGTATTGTGTAATTATTCTGTAGTCTTTATTTTGCTGCACAATTATCTGAAACTTTTTAATAAATTCGTCTGTGGATGCACATCGGAACTTCTATCTCCACCACACACATTTAAACTGCATTTCATACGTTGCCTTGAACTGCTTAAGTTACTCAAAGGAAACTTGCATCTTCCTTTTCTTCCATGAAACTATAGCGTCAGTCTAAAGATCTACGCCGCCTCTAATCTTTTTAGGGAAGATCTTTTGCATAACACATGATATAATTTATTACACTGATATTAGTGCAAAAATTTTCAATTCGCTGCAGCTTTTGTAAATTCCTTCTGTGCCATCGATCACCACGTTTTTTCATGTCAAAGTTCAACATGCAACTTCATTTTTTCTCCATTAATTTCGTTCTGCTGAACCCTCATTTCTGTTTTTCCAAAATTTCGAATTTTAAATTGAGTTTAATTTGAGTGAGGACATTTCGCTCACAATTGATGGTGGTAGGCAGAGGGATATCGCATCAGCTAGGAGCCATATACGAATGCAATTTGCAGGTACGAGGTTTGACTGAGCAGTATATAAAATAATGCCATCAATATGAGTTTTCTTATCCAGTTACAGCTGGGATTATTGTTGGAAGCAACCGTTTAAGCGTCGAATGTTTCATGTGACTCAACACTCGAATATTCCATGTTCCATGTGATATGGCAATGTTGTCAGAATGCAAATCCATTGCATAGTTTTCTCATTTCTTAGGCCTAGTTTTTTCATTAAATTTGAGCCTTTGAAAGCGCAATAAATTTTGTAGGTAAATTACTAGAGAAGTTACTGTAAACTAAGTTTTTTGGCAATAAGGTAAATCTGAGAAACAGTAAATTGAGTTTAGTTAATGCATGAAACTGATCTGCGAATTCTACTTTGTAACATTTTTAAGCACACGTGTCTTCTCTTAGTATATTGAAGAATATAAAAAAAGAATTTACAAAATGCATATAAATTAACGAAAAACTGTGGTTTTGATTTGCTACCGGTATGCATAGAAGTTCAATATATTGAATAACGTTCGTTTGCGAAAGAGGAAAAATGCTATAATCGATTTCTTCTTCTTAAGGCTACAAATCCATACATAATTTAATAGCATGGATGATTTTTTTCTCTTTTGAAATTTTCTATCATTAAGAAAAATTACGCAATATTTGGAGTTGCCGCTGCTTATTTTTAATTCAAAATTTTTTATCGCAACACTATTTAGAAATAATAACTCATTACAAGCACACACACGTTACAGTTTAATTTATATATACATATCAGTTGAATAAAAGTCTATTTTGGAAAAAAAGTCTTTTTTTTTCCAAAATAGACTTTTAAAAAAGGAAAAAAAAAAGGAAAAAAAGGAAACAAAAAGTATATTTTCTCACTCGTAATTATTGTTTATAACAAAAAACATCTTGAATGTAGTGATCGAGATAATTTTATCTTTTCAGTTTGGTAGACGATTAATTCTGGACCTCTCTTTTTTCCCGTTGCTCTTCAAACTGTATTCTCTTATCTGTTTCTACTTTTCGTTCCTTTAGCAACTAACGATAATGTTTATTTTCTTTTCAGACTGTCTAAATTAATAGAATTGAAATTTCTTCTTTCAGTTTACATTTTGTCTGGTACATCGGTAGCAAAGTCGGTGCAACCAGTTTGGCCAGCACCCACTACGTACAGTTAAGTCTAGGGGATGTTGGTTTGGCTGTAGCGGACGGAGGAATTTATAGCTGTAAAAGGTTTTGAGACACTGGGTGAAAGAATTCAGGAGCCTCAGAAGTGCACAGGACGACAAAGCGCTATCTCTGTGTCTGCATATATCTTTTTTCCTGTTTGTCTGCATATATCTCTTCCAGCTTCAGAAGAAATAAGTAGCATCTATTCATTATATTCATCATTCTCCTTTTTCATTAAATTAATTTATTTATTTATCTGCTGCATGACCTACGTTTCGACGAACGCAAATTTAACTATATTATTTTAATGCATTTTACAACTTGTAGTAAAAAATGAAAATGAAAGTAAAGAAAATTTTGATTCTGTGTGGGATGCTTGTGAAAATCATAATCTTTTTAATAATATTTGAACAAACATTGAGTAATAAAATTCATGCTTCTGCTGAAGATTTCAATAAATACTGAAGAGTTACTTATGAAATACCGTCTTTAGCATCATGGAACAATTCTAATTTTTTATAGTCTTCTTGAATACGGCAAAGAAAAAAAAAATGAAAAGTATTATGGAAAAAATATATACTTCAAGAAAAATCAAAAACCTACTTGATGAAAACAATGCAAAATACAAACGAATTTTATGAAGCTATAAGACCATGTCGTATGACATCTGCGATAACAGACGTTGCTGATCGATGCCAAGATGATAGATCAAAATGAGAGAAGATATGGAGACGAACAAATAAAACAATGCTTTTTTTTTTTTTCAAACAGCAATTTTGAAGGATGCAGTCTTATTAAAATTGAATATTGTTGCAAATAACTTCTGTTTTATTAATTATGCAAATGAAATATTTTTAAAATATGAATTTTTCATCATCAGCGTTATGACTGATTAGATGACAAGCCCTATTTTCTTGAAAACGTGTGCAGTCGTTTCTGTCGCCATTAGCCCAGCACTATTCCTTTATCCTTATGATAGGTGTTAAAAGTATTTCTTATCAGTTAACACACTCCCCATTATTCCGCATATAATCTTTCTGCTTGTAAATTTGTTGCTTGAAAAGCCTGTAATAAATATTCTAATATCTACTTTAAAATGAATTTAATCCCTATATGTTTTCTTTTTTACCTTCCAGTTTCTTTTGTTACCCATTAATGCTTTTTCTGCTGATTATGAAAAATTATTGCACGTTTTAGCACGTTGAGACTCTCAACATGACCTACATTTTGATACCTCATTTGAAGCACATCACGAAATTTGATCATGGAAGGCAGGGCAAAGAAAGTTTGAAGTCTGAACTTCAATAAATATCTTAATCTTACATTATTTTAATGGATCTGTTTCATTTAAAAATTCATTTACTTAAGAGTATCTTAATTTACATTTATTTAAAAATTCATTTATTGAAGAGCATAATATGCTGATTTCCATTTATTTAAGAGGTTTTTGAAGCCTAGGTAATTTCCCAAAAGGGAAGGAGACAAAAACTATGGTTAGGTGAATGAGAAAGTCACACTTTAACATGGGTTCAGTGAATGTCTTGAAAATAAGTTTCAACTATTCTTAATACAGAAGGCAAATTTTCAGTAAATTTCTCAACGTTGAAAGCGAATTTCAGGTTGAGAAACGCTCATCATTCACTATCAGTTTAGCATTTCTAATATCTAAGAGTTTGGAATTTTTTTTTTCCCACGGAAGACATAATTGGCTGAGCTCCACTTCCTACGATTATGCCGAAGTACTGAATTCATAAGATTATAAAATAATTTAGGTTCCCACTAAAATATCTATTTTCCGCCTTATAAAAAAACTCAAAAATTATTCCTTTAAATTAAACGTTTCTGAAGTGTTTTCTGAAACATAGACTTTCAAAAAAAAAAAAAAAAAAAAAAAAAAAAAGTAACACAATTTTAAAATATTTAGTTTGTATTTTTATAAAGTTGTCACAGAAGATATCCTGATTTGGAATTTTAAGAAGCAAACTCTATTTAAAAATCTGCTGAATTTTTTTATGTATCTACACTGCTAACCTTTTATTTCATCGCATCCTTATTTTTTTTTTTTCCATATGCTTCCGTTACTTTTCTTTAAAATAAAGGAAAATAGCAACAATATTTTTCTCACTCTTTATATCGCTGGATAGTGCATACTTTATTACCCATACGTATCATATGGAACTATTTTAGTCATACTTATAATAAGCATGTTATGCGCATTTTAATAACCTCAAAAATAAATACTACACTAGAAATTGCTTAGAAATTTTTATTTGAAGGTGAACTATAAGAAACTAATTTTACTTAGACTATATACTATATGTTGGCATTCGAGTTATTCTCTTGCCGATCCACATGCACACGAGATATTTAGGAGAGAAAGCAGTTTCCTCTGCGCACTTCTTGACAAAAGGGATCCAGTTGTCGCAATGGATAAAAAGTTGGATACTGCTTCCATGAGGAAAATGTCCGTACCTCTGAGGGCATTCAAACCATTTAGTGATATCTCCAGTTTCATCTATGATGCAATCCAAATCATATTCATCACAGTCGGTTGGCGGAGGAGTGTTTGGCTTCGTTACTTTGGGCGTAGGTGCAGGTGTTGGAGATGTTGCAGTTTTTGGTTTCGAAGTAGTTGCAGTTGTCGTGGGCTTAGTGGTAGTGGTTGCAGTTGTCTGTGGCGTAGTAGGCGTAGTAGTAGTCGTAGGTGTTGTCATTTTCTTAGTTGGTATTATAGAAGTTTTCTTAGTTGGCGGAGTGAGATCTGAAAAAATACCAGAAGATTTTATAAGTGAATGTTGCAACATATAGGTAGTACTACAATTAGTTCATTTTTATTTTTGAAAGTATGTATTTCAAGTTCATTATAAAAGGCTGTATTCGCCATGAAAAATATAATACTGAAAACAGTATAATATTATATAAGTATGAATTCAGAAAATATCGCATTTGCATTTAAAGTAGTATATAGTTTAAAATATTGGAGATCATGTAACAAAACAAATTTTTAATGACAGAAGAAAGTATAAAGTTTCTAGCATATTTCATTTTCATTACTTGTAATAGTACATGGTGAAGCTGACTATCAATTGTTAAATTGACAGATGCATATTATCAGAGCTTACAAATAAGTGAAACTTTTATTTTAAATGAATAAATGCGCTATTATTGAACTAAGTCTGATACATCTACGAGATGAAATGATTTTTTTTATACTTCATCTTCGATAATCCTATTATTCTAATCAAGAAAATGCATTTTACAGATTTCCGTGGGGAATAAATTTATACGAAAAATTCAGTTTAATTGGCATAGAATATGTACTTAATTATTAGAATTATGAGTTTGGATACTGATTCTTTGATTTAGGCAAAACATGGGAGGATTATCTACCTGAGCTCTAGCCCCGATTTGACCAAGAATTCCTCTGACAGAAGTTTTGAGAATTAGGATTAGTTGAAAATGAACTTTACCTTTGTTTGGAGTCGAATATGCGATTTTTGAAAAGGCAACTGATATGACAATTGTTGAAGCACAAGAGCATTTGAAAGAAATTCATAAATTCCATAAAACGATGCTTATTTGTTAAATCAGTTAGTTATATCTAAGAATGTGAAGGTTGAGGAATCACCTTAGTTAATCCGCATTATGCGATTTCTTTATTACAAGGATTACAACCTGAAGAGGGCATCCATAGTTTTAGGAAGGACTACGATCAGCCTTTAATTTACCTGTTAAAGACTTAGTTTTAGTTTATGAATATAAAACCTAATTTATTCAAGTTTTAGTATTTATCACCATTTTCTGCCCCTTTTTCTTGTTTAATTTATGAAACACATTAAAAATAATCTAAATTTAAATAAATGTACGTGTATTTTTCGAATTTTGGAAAGGGGGGAATGATCGTCTAGCAATTGTAAAAGAGGTGCACTGTAAAAAAAAAAAAAAAAAAAAAAAAAAAAATGTTGGGAACCACTGGTCTATCACACACCTATTTATTCTGTGAATAAATTGCAGAGCTTGCAGTAATAATGGAAGTTTGAGGGTTTGCTAGTTCCGACCAGAAGAAACAATTCGATTGTTCGGGTGATAACGGTTTGATACCGTCTTTGATTTTGAGACCCTGCCAGTTTTATGGTGCCTTCTGTAACTGATAATAGGAACCAATTTCTCCTGGATTCTGAGGAGTCACGATGCCTGCCGATAAAGAACACAAATAAAGATCGCTGGCCTTAGCTGCTCGGTTAGTGGACAGGCTTAGAGCTCTGAAGTTCATATTCTGTAACTTAAGCTGGTTAATCGGGGCAAAGCAGCCGTCGGAACGCGAGCGAGTTGGAGAGATACCTTTCCTATGCAGTTTAGCAATGATCTACACAAAATTCCTACCAGCGCTTTAATTTCATATACAGTTCACATAGTGGCTCAAGTAAGCCCTTTTTTGGCCTGTAAACGTGATTGATCTGTTGGTATGTTTGACTGCACCAAACAGATGCAGTTCTGTGTGTGATTGATCTGTTGGTGTGTTTCGAGAAACAGGCGTGGTTTTCGAAAGTCACGGTTTTATTAATGGGATGTGAGGTGAAGCGTGAGTGTCTAGTCGACGCTGCTGTGACTCGTTTAGTTGTCTGCGTAGGAAGAGTGGCAGCAGAGTAGTCAGTCATTTCCTAGGGACACCAGTGCGACGGCATTGTGGATGTTTTGTGGCGTCACTGTCTTCGAACCTTTCTAGTTTTCTGTCGTCATCTGTAATTGGTAATAGAAGCCGATTGCTCCTGTTTACTCAGTGATGTGTTGTTAATAGCGATGCTCTCCAACTGAAGGCTCTTGGGAAGGTAACTGTCTTTTGCTGCTCTGATCATAGCCAGTTTTACAACTCGGGATCTGCTGGCTTTCAGCTTGTTGCTTAAAACGGTAACTTCAAAATAGCTGTCTGGACCGAGCGATGAGCGATGTCTTTCTTGCGCGGTGAATGATGCAGTACAAGCCGTTAGGTTTTATTTTCAGTGACAGAAGCGAGAAAATATCAGCTTTGCTTTCATCGAATTTCTAGTTTCGGATCTTTCGACTGGTAACAGAATGTGTTACGAGTTACGCGCTGGAGAAGTCGATAATTCGTTACATCTGTTATTAAAATACTCGAACATAGATAAATATTTCATCACAATATGCGCATTGTAACATTTCAAGTATACCGTTATGGATCCTAAGTTTAACACAAAATTTAATTATATTTATGCCGGGTAGTCTTGGAAACATAGTATGATAAAAGGTACAAAACACTTTCATTCATTGTGACAAAATTTTGAGGGTCATTGCTATCTAACTGATTTCCAAACACGTTAATGTGCAATCTTAGCTGATTACAGCATCTAGTATTAGGAAAGAGATATAAGCGCAATAACAAAACTTTTTAATCAGCCTATGCAGAATGACATACAAGATCAAAGCTCTCTCTTCAGGTTTTTTCTTCAGCAAATCAAAACCAACTTACCGTCAGGGTTAATTCTATAATCGCAGCTAACTTGCTCTTTTGGAAAACATCTCCTATAGTAAGCATGAAAGAGTTCATGTTTTCTGCAACTAAAAAGCGTAGGCACATTGTAGATGCAGATGATATATTTTGAACAATCTTCAGGATGAGGAAATGTACCCCAAATATAGGGGCATCGAAACACTACTCTCACATCTTTTTCCGGTTCTTTACCTATAACAAATAAGAAAGGTGAGAAAATGTAATGTAATGGATTAAATTTAAGAAATTGCTTTCTTGCTTTACTGGAAAAATTACAGCTATTAAGAAATATTTTTAATATGATAATTATTTCGGACATGAACAAACGTTAACATTCTTGTTGACAAGCTGAACAAGAAACTTCTATTAAGTAGCTGTTACTCTTAATTAAGTAGTTTATATTATTTACAGTAATATATCGCATATTATTGTTTGTTTATTTGCTTATGGCAAAACACAAAATGGCTATCCGTCCAGAGAAGTATATACCTTCGTGAAACACTTTCTAAAGTTGTAAGGTAACTTATGTTAATTAAGCAGTTATTATGATTTTGATCCTTACTCTAACTTCTTTTTTGCCACCCAGACGGGAAACCTGGACTACCTGGACTTTAAAATTTTTTTACCATGCAGTGTCAAATTTCTACCACATATGGTAACTATAATTTAGCTTATAGCAGGAATTTGAGACTTTTAAAAAATTTCTATATTCACGTTACATTCCTAGCTGGAAGCCGAGTTCAGATACTTTTGTTCGCGCCTTAGTGAAATTAAAATTGAACAAAGAAATTTAGGCATACTATTAGGAGCTTTTAATTAGAAGAGATAAAAAACTAGAAAATAAATCCAAGTCACTAAGAGATGGACGGACTGAGGAAGCCATCTTCATAGTTACCGAACTAATATTAATACTTACATTCTTTTATTTTCACCGAGACATTATTTATTCATATATTTTCTGTTAGAAGTTTTCTGCTACTTTTATGATAAATTTTTGAGAATTGCAAGAGCGACACGTTGTTAATTTTCCTAATATTTACTGTATCTAATTTGAACTTCTAACATTTCAATTATACTTTTAATTCTATTAAAAAGTATTATTTTATGCCTAGCATAATAACGTTAAAAATTGTTTTTTATTTTATTATTTCTTAATTTATAATTTTTTTAAAAACTTCTGATGGAAAGCTTTCTTATTTTGCAAGAAAACTGATTAAGAAATTTCCCTTTATTGCCTTTCTTTAGGCTTAACTTTAAGTTAGAATTCTACACACCTATTATGGGAAAAAAGTTAATTTATCCTACTTTTTCAGAGTTTTGATCTTAGATTCGAATCCCTAAGAAAACAGGGTGAAAAGAACTGAAGAATTGAAGGTTTTTTTTTATTCCTTTATGAAGTGAGTTTTGTTATCACGATTCAAGGAAGCAGTCAAATGATCCGAGAAATATTGCATTGAATTACCTCCTCCAACTCCTCCTGGTCGATTGCCACATCGTACGTACTTGTCTTCCATGCAACTTTCTCGCCGCTCGTCGTAAAGAGTGGATTTTGGACATTGATAGAGAGTGGGTATTGAAAATCTACACTCGTAGTAACGGGAACAATCCTCAGGATCAGGATAACGACCATAAGGAAAGGGACAGCCAAATTTGTGGACTAATTATATAGAAAGAGAAGACCATTATTGTTAAACTCATTAGGTTATGGTATTTATGTGGTATTTAAATATTTATTTTACATAATTAAGTACTTGGAGGATTTTTAATTACAAAGAAACTTGATATAACATAAATATTATAAATATTTTAATATTCTTATTTCTAATGGTCATTTAAATATTTTAATGGAAGAAATGCGAAAAACACTACATTAAATTTGATTATAAAATACATTTTACCTGGAGGTTTAGGTTTTTTGGTTGCTGCTGTATTTGGATACATTGGAGTTGTCCGGGGTAGATCAACCTGCTTTCTGCTAGTTCTCATTTCTTGAAAATAAAATATGTATATGCATTTTAGAGCGTAGCAATACTTTAACGAAATCTCAGTGCAACGCAAAAAAATTAGCAAGTAAAAATTCTTCATAAGGTTTAAAAAATAAAAAAATTAGCAAGAATATATTGCAACAAAAGTTAACAATGAACTCTATAGAGCTAGTAAAGCGTTCTTTCTTATTCAGCATGAAATGGCAGTGTCAGGGACAATAGGTATGAAATATGCACTTTTAGTACTAAAATAAGGAAGAACACGGTTATATCATTTATCGTCTCCAGTGCAATAATTTTTAAAATCAGCATATTGGTGTGAACTGATCCTGTATCACTATCACATGATGTGAGCTGTTATCGAACCGTATCATTTTACTTCGAAGGGAAGATTGTTTATTTAAGTTGTACATACTCTTAATCCTTTGCGGCACATTGTGTCCGGTTTGGACACACCTAAATATTTCCTTCTGTACGCACAGAAAAATTGAATGAAAAAGGATTTATAGGTTACTATAGGTTACTCTGAACCTTCTTTATTTATTGCAGATGGCAGCTCAACACGAACCATGTTTTAGCCATGTTTAGTTTTTTAAGACCTTCATTTTTCAAAGAAATCTTCCCGATTTTTTTTAGGTTATAAAAGGTATTGCTCGAAAATAAATTTCTATGTTATTTTTTTGACTGTATGCTAATCTCCATATTCCATATTAGTTTTAAATTTTTACCTTGAAACCTTGCTTAAAATCAAACGGCGAACTCTAGGTTTGCCCAGACAGGGCTCACCGATAATGTAGGATGACTGAGAGTCTGCATTCTTTGTTTCTCCGCATCTCATCCGTCAGTTCATTTACAACAATGCTCGTTCCAGCATTCTTTTCGAAGCTCTATTCAACCAGTGTGCCACTTTGGGCACACCCACAGAATTAAAACGATAAGTGTTATCTTCACAAAATGTTACTTTTGTACTCCTCTAGGCCTAATTAGACTGCCTACCTTTTTTTTTTTAAATCAAAATTCCGACTTTAAAAGGTAGCGTGCCGGAAAGGGTTAAGCTGCAGCTGAAGTGCTTGATAGTTGTATTATACGAAGAATACGTTCTTGCTTTCCGTTGCTTTGAAAACCTACCAAGAGATATCAGCTGCATAAAATCAGTAAAAAATTCCATTTGGTCACCTTTGCCTAAATACAAGACATTTTACATGCAGAGGTTGAGATGTATTAATGTACCCTCTTAAGAAAAAAAGGTGTTCCTAGAAGGAGCTATATGAATGGGATGAAAATTCGGTATTACATGTATAAAAAAGAGGTGGTATTAAAATTTATGGTGGTCTGAAAGTTTTATTTGAGAGGTACAGCTACATACAGCGAATAAACCAACGAGGCGTTGATCCACCTCTGTTCTTTATGAAAACTGTTATTTGGCTTAACATTGGCTCTAGAGTTGGTGGATGAACTCCTACACGATTTTCTACCAAACTGTCTACAGTTGTTGAGTTAAATCAACTCACAACATCCTAGGACGATTGGAGGTGCCTACCCGTTAGATAGTTGACAGGATTGAAGACGCCATAAAACTAGCAACAAGTTAAATGATTTTGTCTCGCATCCCAGCATATCTAGCATTGTAGTATTACATCAGATAACTTTGTAAGAATTGTTGCCATCATGACTCAGGGTATTTATTATCTTCTATTAACAAGTTGTCGGTTGCGTATAATATGTTCTGTAAAACCTCAAAATGCTTTACAAAAATAAAAATACAAAACATTAACTTTACAAACATTGTAATACCTTACATTACGATGCGAGACGTTGTTACACTACAGCAGTTTCCATTTTTAGAAAGATGCTTAGTGACTATAAGGTTCAGGCTCTAAATTTTGTCCTTGGACTATTTAAAACATTGTACTACAAAGCATATGTCAGAACAATGTTAGATTAATTTAATAAGGTGACTTTTATCAGTAGAGGGCATTGTTTTATGCTTGCATGTTCGCTCAAGGATTTTAAACTGGTGTTCTGTAGTAAGAAGGCAGATGGTACGATAATGATCTGGGGTGCTTAATATCCACTCAGAATCAGGTCAGACACAGGTTATTAAAAAATATCTGGCTGAGAAAACCTAAAGGCAGACAGAAGGTCCTAAAATAAGCAGATATTTTTATTGAACATGTGAGCGGAAATGTCGTGCTGAGGGTGGTTCAGGACCCTGTTATAGGCAAAAGTGTTCTTCAAGCATAAATCATCATTTTCCGTGAGAATTTCGAGCGTTATATAGCTACATAAATGCTGAGTTCTTCGATGTGTGTTTTATGCACGTGGCTGTTGCTGAAATGAAACAGCTACTCAGCGGAGGTATAAAGAATAATTTCTGAGAGCATCCTTTGAGCAACTGCTACATTTCTATCTGCAGTTTTATAGATAAAATACATACCAATGAGCTTCGCATTCATCTTGATGTATACCGCTCAAACGCCGCACAGGGAATGACAATTTACGCCACTAGAAATATTTTACCTACCGCTCAACAACGTCCTGTATCATTTCAACTCACACACATTCCTTTACAAAATCTGAATTTTTAGTCTCTTCCACATTTTTTAGGTATTTTTTAATCATCCTGCGTATAAAGTAGACACGTGCCTTCAGTTTCATATTAGGATAATAACTTATTTCATTATTCGTTCCAGGTTTGTTAAGATATTAAAAATTTTTGTGGTATTTTGTTTGTAGGGTTATCTATTATCCGAATCTTATACGGTTTCTTATGATAAAGTCTGCTGAGTTCGTATGCATTAAAATCAAACAAAATTTCACCATATAAATGCAAAGAACGTCTTTGGAATGGAGACACACATCATCATACTATCGGAAAAAATCCATTGCAGTTATCAGGAGTTAGAAGGAGATGGCATGGCTTTGTCTTTATCTCTTGAAAAAGTTGGTTATATTGAGTTTTAGGTAACCATTAGTACTAATTATCGCCATTAATACCGAACTCTTACTGTCAGACACTAGGGTCTTCCCACAAAACCCTCAAATATAAGAGAAGCAGAAAGTTGAGCACAGACATTTTTCTTATTCATGACACTACGGATCCTAACTTAACGCGATCCGAACTTTTCCTCAAATTTTAAACTGAGTGCTAACAATAAACAGCTGAAATCAACGAATTTTTCGTCACTTAGACCTAAGAAGTATATTCTATCGTGAATTTACTGCAGACAGTTTAACTGCACCTTCGAGCACAAATTTAGAGAGATTGAGTGATCATGAAAAAAATGCAGTGAAAGCTTGGTTATCGAACTTAATTATTTCCTGAAGATAGTAATGTCGCCCAAAATTTTCGCAAAGAGAAACAATTTCTCCCGTAGGAATCAATGTAAAATGAATTAATCCGTTCCCTGGTCACAAATGATTGCCTAAAAAAGAATACTTTTAATATAAGTTCGTAACGCAAAACTGATGAAATACATTAATTAAATCTATTACATATACACTATTAGCATGCGCACAATATTTAATACAATACTGAATATATAAAAAATCTAAAAACCTGAATTAAATTTTAAATACTAAGCCATGCCAATTTCTGTCTCCGAGAAAGAGAGTTGATAGAATGAGTAGAAAAACGGTTGCTTGAAAGGGAAGTCCTATTCCTTTAAAAATATCAGTATTAGAATAGCTTTTGTCTTTCCTTCTTCCTTTTTTCGCTTTTTTTCCCTTGTTTCCTACATGAGAACCGCTGGGCCCTTTTCTCATTGAATATCTTTTCAATATGTTGTTTTTCTGCCTAAATTTTAATATGTCCTTAAAGCAAGATACGGCATTGCCATATCAAATATTCATTTAGCAGTGTTAGAATAAATTAATAGCACATAATGAAACTCGGCAACATCAAGAACAAACGAGGGCCAAACGATATATTACACATATTGGCGAGAGAGGATTCTATTTGGTTCAGATACAGAATCCTTAAAAAGATTATGTAATTGCATTATTTTTTGTGCTTTATTCTTTTCAGCATGTTACACTCTTTTATGGAATATACTCATGATAATATTGCATAAGGGATGAGCCTGAAGGTATTTAAAACTTATAAATGAGTATTTTGTTAAGTTCTTTGTTTGAACACTTCGATTTAAATGTTTGTAAAGACTATTAACTTTGATTTCTATACTATTTGTGCTCTATTTGAGGTGAGCAATTTCTCTAACTTGTTAAGTAAAGATTTCATAGTTATTCTAACTTATGAGTCTTTAATAAAACTATGCTAAATAGAGGATAGTGTACTTAAACGCCTTAAATATGTTAAATGCATGACATATCAATGTTATGACTTACTACTGCCTTCTTTGCATCTCACACAGTTTTGCACAAATTTGATGGATCAAACAACTAGGAACATCCTTCCTTCCGTTCCTTTTCACCCCTTCTAATTAGAGCTCTGGCTACTTGCGAACTGATTCAAAGAACCGATTCCCTTTATTGAACGAGTGGATAGTGATTCACAAAACAAAATAAAATAAAATGAAAGGTAGCTCCTTTAGAGTTCCTCCAACGAGAGCTTTTATTGAAAGCTCGCCAGCAAAATTCGATTCCCATTTTAGGGAAGAAAAAGGCGAATGTTTATTCTCTAATGTTAAGAGTGAGTTTAATTTTAATCATTTCCAAACTTTTTCAACTTCTTTAACCATTTGAGTACTGATTTATTTGAAGATTTTTCTGCCCATGGGACGGATTTAATTTGTCGCTATATGGATTAATATGTAAAAGTAATACGTCTTATCATACAGCTCTAATTCTACTTCATTGGAACTATCATTTTCGTAGTCATATAATGAAATTCTTATTTCAGACATCCCAGTGTAGCGTATCAAAAAACAGGAATAATAATAAAGATAAGTGAAAGTAACCTTATTTGCAACTGTAAGATGTCATAAATTATTTCATGCATTGTTTGCGATCAACGGCTACTAGCGTGGAGTATCGCAAACATCCCATGCCTGCTTCTTAAATTCAGATGAAGAGTTACACTCGTCCATCGTAACTTCGCTCAATTAAGCAGATGACGGGTTTCATTAGTCAAAGTACCCAAAGGGTTAATAGTAGAATTTTATTTTTAGTTCTGTCTAGAAGGGAATTTCTAGGAAATCTCAAAATGACATTTGAAAGAAATCAGCCCAGGGAGCTAGTGGTTCGATTTGAGTCGTTTCTCCCGATCCCACTGCTCTTTCGATTCTTTCCACTCTTCCCTCCATTCTTGATTCACTCCCTGTTTCCGATCTTATCATAAGGATTATTGTTAGTAAGCAGTAAGTCATGAAACGTAATCGATTCAATTCAGTGAGCGAACGGTTCTGATCAGATCTCGTGAAACTTGTCTTGCCCGTCTCAACTTCTAACAGGACGCGCTAAGAACATCCTCTAAAATTTCTCTGAACATATTTATTTTACTGCACTTCGGTTATAAGATCTGTATGTACAAATATACCGTACTTCATTGATTCTTCGCCTTCACTATTACGTAAGTATATCAAGACAGAAGAGAAACAGTGCAAGTTTTTACGTAAATGTATGTTATCATGAACATAAATATGAACTACCAAAGAAGGTTATCATGAGTTTCCTTTTCTTCAATAAAAAATGGTTAGGATTTATGATACTAAGTTATCAGTTTATGGGGAGGAATGCCTTCATGAAGATGTTTTAAAGAATATTGCTCATGTTGAGGTTAAACATATGAGACAAAATCCGAAAATTCTCATAGAGTGAGCCCGTTTGGTCAGGATTTGAATTTAAGTTGAATTACCAGTGTTCAGCGGTCTTTTTTCTCGACTGCTGGTGGACCCAATAGTAAGCGGAATACTGACAGAAATAACAGGAAATCTTTTTTACGGTAATTTGAAATCGTTTCCAGCAAATAAAATCAAACTTAATAATGATTATTACGCGTATGTATAATACACACACGTATGTATGAGTGCGTATTATATAGTTTCCTCCATAATACATATGCAGAATAAACAGAACAGGAAGCTGCCAGAGTGAGTCCTTCTCTCGCGTTGATTGTACGAGGATGTTACCATCCTGGCGGATGTAATCTTATCCATATCCTTTGCCAGTTGGCAGAACATGAACTTTAGAAGTGCAGAACTGAGGGCAGAGGGAAAAAAAAATAAATAAAACCGAAACAATGAAATGGTATGAATAATTTATTTCTTATTTTTTCATCTATTCCATGCATTTATTATTATTATTATTATTTCATGCTTTTCATGCATGATCCCAGTCTGATTTCAGGCAAATTTACATACATTTTGTGATATGCATGATCTTGATTTCAATCAGCAAGTTTCTGAACAAGACAGAGTCACTGCCCACACAAGCCTGAGAAATAACCAAGAAAAAACCGGAATGTTTCGAGTGTTGCACGGGTAAGAACTTTAATGTTAAAAGAAGATCTTCGAAATCAGAGAACAGTTGCATATTTATCTAAATGCTCAATGTCAACTATAAACAAAGTTATTAATCCTGATTTGAATCTTAAAAGGGCGAAAAAATCGCGATGTGCGTCTTCTTTCTCCCCGCCCACATCGCCGAAAGCAGAACGCGCTGCAGGATTCTCTATGAGAGACAAGTATTTGGTCAAAAACGTAAAAATACTGTCATAAAAGATGAATCTTGGGTATATTTAAATGAACGCAATAAAAGGAGATCTACTTACTATCATCAAAAAGAGGGGGGGGGAACTCTTAGAACATGGTTCAAAGAATATAAGGAATGATTTTCAGAGTTATTTATGATGGTTGTTGGTTTTAGATATAACGACAAATAAAAATTAAACAGAATGCTGAAAACTATTAAGATCAACTCCACATATAATCAGGAACGTATCTGATACCCAATTTTCAAATATGAAATACCTTTTTTTTACCCACAGCGCCATCAATCCGTAGAACTGCATCAAGATAAAGCAAACAGCCGCACGTCAAAATCTACTGATAATTTCTTGGAAAGAAATAGAAGAAGACACGTATATCAAGGCATACCCTTCGCTCGTATTCCTCCTAAATCTCCTGATATATCATCCACGGATTTTTGGGCTTTTGGACTTTTAAAATGCGGATTGTTCAGACGTCGACCTACAACTCTCCTTCAACTTTGGAAAGCTGTTCAAGAGGAATGGGATAAAATACCTCTTCCGCTACCAGAAAAAGCTTTATTATCTTGGAAATTACACTTCAGAAAGAAAGTGAAGAATAAGATTTATGGAATGGAACATTTAAAACACAAAAAAATTTAGGTAAAATATTTCTGTAAATACAATGAAAATTGTATAAAAAAATATGCGAACAGCCTTAGTATATGGTGCATATACTAAGGCTGTTCGCACATTTTTTAAACGATTTTCATTGTATTTACAGATGTATACAGGATGACGTATAATTATGGCTAATACAGGATGTATACGGATACGAAAATACAGGATGACGTACAATTATGGATGCTTTTTACAAATTAGCCTATCTCCTGGCATTATAAATAATAGAGACGCAGGTATTCTATACACCATGAAGAAGTAAAGTAACTATGGATACCTAATGACATGCATAGTTACATATAAGAAGAAATGCAGGAAGTGAAAGAAATAGTTAATGACAAAATAAACATATTTAAATTTTGCTTACGATCTCTGTCCAGCCTTTTCCCGCAATTCACTAAGTGCTTGTACTTGCATCTTCTTTCTCTGGCATCGTATAAGTCTGTACCATAGCACATGTAGAGTGTCGGAACATTGTAAATGCAAATGAAGTACTTGGAACAGTCTCTTGGATGAGCGAAAGTGCCCCAGATATATGGACATACGAAAACTCTGGGAATTTCTTCTTTTATTGAAAAATAAAAGACAATATAATTATTATGGGCTTTTAATTTAAAGAAAAGTTTGAACAATTGTTATTTATATGCAAGAAACAAAAATCTAAAGAAAAACACCTACCATTTTAACATATATTTCAAAACGAATAAGTTTATTACTAACATTATAGTTATATTTTGATACAATAATATACGCTGTTGTATAAGTAGGTATATTTTAATAACTTTGAAATTTAAGTAAAGGAAATAAATTTACCTATGCACAGTGACATATAAAAAAGAATACTTACACTGAAAGTTAAAAAAAATACATGATTAGATAAGTCTTGGAAGAGTTAGTGTAGGATTCAATTCAAGAAATCAGAAAAGATAAGCCTGCAAACTACATTAATTTTGATCATGTAATATCTTTTTAGCCAAAAAATACTTCATTTAAATGTTTGTATGAGATAATTTTTATTATTAAATGCCTTTTTATCTTCATAAACATCTTTTAGGGTTTTAGAAAGTTTTGTTTTTAATCTTTTGTTCAGGAACAGGAAAATTTTGTCGCATGTCAAATTGACCGGGAAACAACTACCAGAACTTCACGACTTATTGGTGATTTATTTAAACCGTTAAACGATTTTCAATGGATAACAAATACAGAAAAGTCTTTAATTTTATAGCACGTACAAAAACATAATTTCAAAATTATAAACTTAGCTTTTCTGCAAGTGGAATTTTGAAATTCCTGTTTCTCAGTATTCTGCTTTAGATAATTTCTTCAAAAAATTGCATTCAAAATTTGACACGGAGAGTTATCATTAATAATGCTTGTGTAGAGCCCCCAGAAATTGTAACAAAGGTATCTTTGAACTTTGCACGGAAAATATTTTTCTGCTTGACAATTAATTTTCCTGCATGGTCCACATAAATAAATATTTCTGTTTTAAATAATATAGTTGAAGGACATCACGTGAAGAAAATTATCAGTATGCAAGCCTAACTCGTTTGAGTTATTTATTTGTTAAAGAGGATGCTATAGGTTTATGACCACTCTTTCAAGAGACTCTAAGAGACGCAATAGAATTTTTTGAAAGATTATTTTGAAAGATTTCCCTAAGACATACATATGTAACAGCTTTATATCTTATCTTTACTTTTTAAGTAAAGATATCACTTCACCACTGTTACTTATTAGAAGAGAAAGCGTGCATGGGCTCTGCAGTAAATAAATAATAATAATTAAAAAAATGAAAGCTTTCAGATTTTATATTAAGCACAAACGGGCGTTTATTTATTTATTTATTTTTCCATTTACATTTTTTTCCCGTAGAGTGTTGCCATTGATCGCTTTGAAACTGTTAAATATTTTTATTAAAAATTCCTTACAAAATACAAAAGTTTTACAAAATTTCATTACAAAAGTTTTACAAAATATGAAATAGACAATAACACAAATTTTAAATTCCGAATTCGGGCTTCCAGGTGTCCTTGTTCGGGTGGAGGACTATGTTATTCAAAATTTAATGACTCTAGGTATCGTTGTTTTTATACAACTCATGAAACATATGTACATTCATGTAGAATTCTTCATTATTTATTTTTTTAAATAATAATAGGGCGATGATATTTGGTGGCAACAATTTGAAAAGAGATTCGGTCATTTAAAGTGATTCGACGCAAAATGCCGTTTCGAGACTAATAGTTCTTATGGGCTAAGGCCCATCTGGGCTAAAAATTTTACGGATATTATCACGCTCATCAAAACTAATTAAAAATTTTTTTAATTCATGAATTTAAGGATAAAGTGGTACTCCATTTTAAAGTTATATGCAGTCAACTCATTCGTTGGCATGTGAACATGTGAACTCAGAACAAATTATTAGAGTTCAGAGGTTATATCTACTCGATCATTGGTGGGAAGTTTACGTACAGACAGAAACGACTAGAGGCAATGCATTCTTCATATGACGAACTGAGATGAAACTCTGAAGCTATAATATTAATATATTTTAAAAATTTTCCAGTAGTATGGATTTTTGAGCCTAAAGAGAATTCATAGCATTTAGTTTATTAGGTGTTGTAAAGCATTTAAAAATTATATTTAATTTCAAAATAATACCTTCGATAACATCCGTGACACCTTTATTTCCTCCTTTACTGCACCTAACTTTGTTCTTGACTCTGCATTGTTCCCTATCCTCGTCGTACAACAATCCTGCGTGGCACCTCATTAAAGTGGGATAGCCGAATCGACATTCATAAAAGAGAGCGCAGTCCGTCTCGTGAGGATAACGCCCGTAAATTGCTGGACATTTAAAATTTAAGGGCCTCCACCAAAAAGTCTCTGGAAAAAAAAAAAAAAAAAAAAAAAAAAAAAAAGAAACAATTAATTTCTTTACGAAACACATGAATACAAGAACACTATACACTGCAAATTGGATTTACACTCAGTTTTTCTTTAAATGTACTGGAGCAGACGTAGAAGATTTTTATACAGATGATTTTATGAAATGCGACCTTTTCATAATTTTGCTCTTTTATAAAAATGCCGATGCCTTTCATGCCCATCTGTCACTGCTGTCTAAGACCAAGCTTTCACAAGGATGCCCCAGCATAAAACTGTACAAACTTTTATTAAGATTAATTTCAGAAGAAAGCAACTTTCATAAAAGTGTTACACTAGAGTGCCAATATGCAAGAAAGGTTTTAGCTTTTTTCTCTAATTCATAAAAAAAAAAAAAAAAAAAAAAAAAAAAATGAAATTGTGCTCGCATGTTATAGCCTTGGCATCAATATGCCCGAAGCCTGAGGAATAAGGTCAATAGAAAAACAAGCTTATATTCGTTCCAGTGATCGAGTTCAACGATTTCATTTGACATACAGAAGTGGTGGAAACGAAAACTTAAAAGGAAATAGAAAATAGTTTCTTTTGACTGTAAATCAGAGACGTCACTCAAGAGCATATCTTATAGTAACCTTACTTACGAAGGCTGTGTTCTTCAAGTTCAAATCTAATTTTCATTACGGTGCTGGTACTTTTCACCGAGGTGTACTTGTGAAGGTTCTTTTGTTTTATAAAACAGTGACCGACATCTATAAAGTGTAGAACCTTTATGACAATGTTGTGAAAGTGCCTGTATATACTCAATTGAACAGTGAGAAAGAAACTGTAAAGGTTTCTGAATTAATTTTTCACGAAACAAAAAAAATTTTGAGTTAACGAAAAAAAAAAAACAAAAAAAAAAAAAAAAAAAAAAAAAAAAACAGTTAAACAAATGATTCCTGATTACTTCCAAACATGAAAGAATTAAGAAAGTGAATTTCTTAAAGTTGGTGCAGCTTTACCCAGTATTTTTTAGTCTCAAAACTCCCTATGTGATATTTCTCTTTTAGTGCTTCCACGTATCTCTGTATCTCCTTTTAATAATTTTATACAATTAAAGTATATTTTAGTAAGAATTGCTTTTTTATTTTCCTTTCTTTTTATTCCTGTGAGTAAACACGTAAAGTCATGAAGCTTGTCGAAGTAGAAAACATGAAAAATGTGCTATGCCTTTAACAGGGCTGAAACTTCGACTTTCCAGTTGCTAGCCGGACTTGCTTCCAATTACACCCCGAAGGCACTCAATGAGGAGGGAGAAAGTAAATCACATTCTTTCTTATACAAACGACAACAAGAAAAGCGGAGACGTAATCGCCAGATCCCGGTGAAGACGAATTATACTTCACCATATTTTAGCCCCGCCACTATTCAGTCTTTTAGAGTATTTTACAACTGGAAACGGGAAAAGTCAGTACTGCCCTTGCCGAGATTCGTAGTCCGGACCTTCGCACTGCTAGCCATAGGTGATTTCCAATTACACCACGAAAGCTCGTGGTAAAGAGCGAGAAAATTCCTTACTGTATTGGCGTATCCTTACTGTATTGTACTTTGTATTGGCGTATCGTTTACAATCGTCATCGAATCAAGACAACCCTTGACTTTCCCAACCGGGTTTGTGCCTCTTCTCCGTTTACAGTTCGGGGTGAAGGTAGGGCCTTGGCCATTTCCTTCTTCTGTCTCCCGCTAACATCTATGTTTCATTCCTGTTGCCATTTCTGGGTGGTTTTTTAAAGCAGCTTTATTTTCAAATAAGAGGGAGGTGGCAGTATATTGAATTTTCTCTGCGCTTATACAGAGGCTGTTCGCACATTTTTTACACGATTTTGGTAAGCGGTAATAAAAAAACGTTTGCTGCAAAAGAAATAATTGCAATTGTACTATGTTTTTAAAAGTCAAAATTATCGTCTGTGGCTTGAAAGTTTTGTTTTTGTTCAAAATGGCCAATTTAACAAAGCAGTGGTTAAAAGGCTACATTTACGCTCTTTCCGAAGAGAAATATGCATACTCCGTTATCCAAAAACGATGTGAGAGTCATCGTTTTGTGATATCTAAAGCGTCGATAGGTAATATCATCAACAAGAAAGGAAAAAAAAATGTCAAATTGGAGCCTTAAGTGGGACAAAAATTCCAAACAAGTATCCAAGGAAAAAACGGACATCTTCGACTATAGCAAAGGTACGTTGTTTAATGTTAAAAAAAATTCCCCTAGTCAAAGGACAGTTGCAAAATCATTAAAATGCTCCGTGTCCACTGTAAACAAAATGATAAACGTTGATTTAAATCTTAAGAAAGCGAAAAAACGCAATGTGCATCATCTTCTTCCAAAGCATATCACTCAACGCAGGACATGCTGCAGAATTCTATATGAGAAACACTTATCCAAAGTAAAAGGGAAAACAATTGTCACAATAGATGAAGCATGGGTGTATTTAAATGATTGCAACAAAACAAGAGCCGTTTATTATCATCAAAGGGGAGAAACAAAATTTAAGTACATGGTTCAAAGAATCGAAAGAAAGTTTTTCTAAGGGATTCATGATTGTTGCTAGTTTTTTCCATAATGGCAAGTTAAAAATAAAGAGAGTGCAAAAAAATGTCAAGATTAACTCCAAATACTATCAGGAACATATTTTATTGCTAATTTTTCTGAATGAAATACCATCGCTTTACCCACAGTGCCATCAATCTGTGAGACTCCATCAGGACAAAGCTAGAAGTCACACATCAAAATCCACTGTAAATTTCCTAAAAGAAATGGAACAAAAAACTGGTATCAAGGCCATACCCTTCACTGATATCCCTACTAAATCTCTCGATGTGTCACCTATGGATTTTTGTGCTTTCGGACTTAAAACTGAATTATGCAAACGTTGTCCCAAAACCCTAACAGGATTCTGGAAAGCTGTTCGGGAGGAATGGGATAGAATACCTCTTCTGCCACTTCAAAAGGCATTATTTTCCTGAAAATTGCGGTGTCGAAAGATAGTTCAGAATAAGGGATGTCAAACAGAACATTTAAAACACAAGAATTTTGTATAATTTAGTTCTGTGAATACAATATACATCGTCTAAAAAATGTGTGAACAGCCTCTGTATTGGTACTTGCCTTTTTAGCAATTTTGTCGGCCGTTTCATTGCCTGTCAGTGCTCTGATCCATACCATTTGTATGTGTTTATGGGTACTGCTTTGAAGAAGATGCTGTATATTGACAGTGAGTGGAGAAGAGTGAATATAATTTAAGACTGCCAGAAAAGTGGACATACTGTCTGAATAAATAGCAATAGAAGGAGTGGGCGTATTGAACAGTCGTTGTTATGGCTAGCGCCTCTGCCTAGAAAACAAGGTTCCAGAGTTGCCGATAACATTTTTAAGTATTAATTTTATGTTCGCCATCGAAGGTCTTGGAACCATCTATTAAAATTTAAAACTCTGTTCCTTGTGTGAGTTAATGGTGCTTATTGTGCTTATCTCAACATGTGTGCTCGAATTCCTAAGCCCTGATGCGTGAGCATGGGGCTTGATGGGGCATTCACACTGTATTGGGCTGAATGTTACGTTATAGGAACTGGTATCTCGGCTGAATGTCTTAGTATACTGTCTTAGATGTATGATCTTGGTATAGATGGCCTCCTATTCTGCTCAAATATGGAGAGGAATCAGTCCTGTAAGGAATATGTGGCGTCAGGGGCTGTTGTCTTGCATGCCTTGCGCAGGTTTAGAGCAAACGGGCGGTGGATTGCGAGCAGCGGGTTTTGTTTTTTGACCCTCACTAGCGAAGTCCGGATGACAGTTTCATAAAGGATGATTTTCTCAATGAAAAAGGAACTTCAATAAAAATTTGCTTATAATATAAGGTCCAAAATGACATAGATGAACATAGCACAGATAAACATTCTCCAAATTGTGGCGGACCACATAAAAACCAAAACTTCATGCGGGCGGTTCTCTCATACGGTGATACCTTCGAGCTTTTACGAGAGGTGAGACAAGAGGCTCTGACATTACAAAACTAATAACTTATTCAGTAATGTTTCTACTTGACAATACAAAGTTTCATATCAAGTGTCATAAGACTTTAGCGATATGCATTATGTTTGTGATCAAAGCCTCTCAAATTCAGGGGGCTGAACAACTACTGATTTTGATATCGCTGGCATCAGAGTACGTAAAATACAACGGAAGAGTTAAAAAGGCGTGACTAATTTAGTTTGCAAAATATTCTAGAAAGGGCAAGTACTTAGAATGGTCTAAGTCTTAGAAAGACTCTTGCCGCTAGATAGATCCTCACAATATGAAGACAATACCTTACCTTCTAAATAATGACTTCTATGTATTCAATATTAATTGTCAATTATCGTTATTATATTATCAACAGAATTTCACGTAGATGTATAATAAATATACTTTTAGTTCCATATGCGGTAAAACACAACTGAAAAGAACGCAACCAATACCAGTCATTACATCGGAATCACTCCACTAGCACTCCAGCACTCCGCTATATATATATACACCGTATATTCTGGTGCATAATGTGCACTTTTATTCCAAAAAATGAAATCAAAATTTACGAGTTCGCGTTATACGCCGGATATAAAAAATCATAGATTTAAAAATAAGAAAAACATGAGCATACGAAAATTTGATTTCTGCATGTACATGCTATTACTGGCGATTCTAGCGATTTTCTAAAAGCCAGTTCGCAACATTTTCTTCTAGGACAGTGGCGGCCAAAGTGCGGCTCGCGAGTCTGATATAACTCTCACAGGCAGTTTGCGCGGCTCATGCATATAAAATGTATGTATGAAATATGGTAAACTAAAACTATTCAGTGTCCAAAAGGAAGTAATTAATTAGTTTAGACTCATTTTACAAAGTCATCTGGAATTTCTTTCTATTTAAAACCTCCTCCACTACTTCTATAATGATGTAAATATGAACTTGTGGCTTTTAGAAAATC